TCATAATATAAATGTACGAATAATTAACTGGATAGGATTAGTCAACATTAATATCTACACATCTGTTTAACTACTATGTTAACAAGGCTAAAAAATAAACCTGTAGCATCTAACCAATTGGTTTGTACATCTAATGACTCACCCATCACCTTGGCATAAAAGACCTATGTAGGAGTAAAAGTCAAATTGTCATAGATTTGTTGTTTACAGTTTCTGTTGCATTGAAACCAGTAAGCGTTTGATATGCACACACTAAATTTATATTAGGTAATTTAACTACACATTTGGTGTATTAATTATCACTTTCAATAATAATAATTTGTGCATTTTATAACTTAGCACAAAACTAGCGATTTTTTCTTGTTTTCGATTCATTTACATTTTGCGGGCATACTTGTTTCTCATTTATCTGTTCATTTTCACTTCAAATATAGAAACCAATAATAATAATAATAATTCTCTAACCAATTGACTTGTTTCTTCTATACTAGATATGTCATTACAGTAATTTAAAGAATAGGTCTAATACAGTGATGTAGATGGAAGGTATTGCTATTAGATACTTCTAATGCGATGAAGATATTTGGAAATAAAACTTGAGATATAACAGAATTCAGTGCAGTTACAAGTACTGTTTAATTCAATATAGTGACAAAGATGAGTTGTAAAGATAATTATGTTTCCTCAATTTAATATGAATACTTAGAAGTGTGAAAAGAGATGAATATAACTCGCTAGGAGTATAGAAACCAAAAATAATACAGGACTAAGAATATAGTTGGATAATGTATAAAATAGTTTTTAGCGAAAACAAGTGTGATTAAGATGTGCATAGGAACAGACTGAAAAATATCATAACTGATGATGACAAAAAACTGAAGCAGACAAATGAACAAAACCCAAAGGAAGGGAGACCAAACAAAACTAGATCCATGGTAGGTGAAGAGGTAGGGTGGATAAGCTTCTTTTGAACACGTATCTCCGACTTCTCCATGCATACGGTGAGAGCTTCGACACTACAAAAAAGTAGAAGGCATACTACTTTCGACGGATTTTTGTTAATTTTTCAAGTGACTCTAAGTCAATTAAGAAATTGTGACAAGTGATAACAAGGTGTTGAATTATAGAGCTTCTGATTGAACTAGTGGGTATTTTCAGATGTGATGCGATCATCACCTTAGCTACCAAACCAAGTTTTATTTTGCATCTCTTAGAAGATACTAGAACAAATGAATCATCCTATTCATTTTAAAAACTATTAGACTAAACACATAATATTTATAGTGTCTCAGTCCCATTGTAATTGCGGTACCTGATAGAATTAAGTGGAGTGATGATATTAAAACATCAACATGCACAAATTATTCACATCATGCTACTTCAACTTCATCTCATGCTTTCTATGTAGACTCATAATTTTCCTCACTTTACTTAACTACAGCTTAATCCATCCATATTCTTCAGAATTTACGCAAAATGATGTAACACAATTTACGAACTCTTCTGAGTGGCACACGCTATGAATGTAGTTTGCAAAGGGTTTTAAGCCACCCAGTATAAGGTTCCGTACAGTAAAAAACAGGAAAACAGAAAAAGATGTCTTTTTCAGTTAAATGATCTGACTGACTGGTTTTAATGTAGAACTTTGCACAGGTGTGCAGCACTTCGAGTTGCCGCACTCCATGTGGCAAAGAAAGCAAGAGAAGAGAGTAAAAAGAGATAAGGAACAGAAATAAACTCCATACGCACCACCTATATACTTCTCAGTCTGGTATAACTTCCCTACTTAGGCATTTAAGTGGTCTGATAAAACAACTATATCTGAGCGTTTTGCTATTGGTAGCAAACTAGGCAGTTTCTGGTAGAAACCATCCTTTAGTTCATCTGAAATGCAGTGGGTTGGGGCGTAGGCGGAGACTATAAAATGACAACTATAGGTAACTCGGTCCTTCCTTCTTCTAACGGACCCGTTCAGACGGACTGCACACATACGACATCCACTGGGATTCAGTCGAGAATTGACTTTTCTGCTTTAACACTCAAATCTATCCCTACACCTGCAAGTCCTCGCGAACTAGCTGAGGTGTCTCCTGACAGCCTTAGGGTGAATTTTTCAGATTCACTTTGTTGACCGGGTGAGATTAAGTGAATGATCACACTTGGGTCTTGTATGCGTGTCCCCAAAATACAACATACATCCATGGCTCGAAATGACAGAGTTCTGGCTAGTGATGCCTGCTGTCTCATTTGACAGAGGGTTTTGACGTTGAAAGCTCCCATATGAAGTTGGCGACGTGGTTTTAAGAGGCTGCCGGGAGTGTTTCTATACCTCTCATCGTTGTTTGTGGTCACAGAGTGAAGTGAAGATGACTCACCAGTCTGAAGAATAGTACTGACTGTAGTAGGGGAAAGATGGTGAGGATGATGTGGATAAATGAGGATGACAATCAGGAGGGTTTTGTGTGCTTTCTGAGTGTGTGGGTGTTTGTTACTTCCCGGCTGCTCACACCGTGGAAGTTGATTTATACTTGGGGTACCTGAAATAAAAAGAGGGTTAGTGTTGCGTTACCGCAGAGCCTAGGAGATAACTGCTCGAGGCCGGTTACACACGGCCTGTATGAACTAGCTTTTAGGTTTGGTTCCGTATTATTAACTTACCTCAGGTTACGAACCACCGTAGGGTAAGTCGGGATGTATAATTTTGGGGTCGACCTTTTCTAACACCCTCTCTCCAGAGTAGAGAGACAGCATAGCTGGCATGCTGGTCATCTGAGGGAAACACCTGACTGCTGTTACATCCCTATTCTCCAGCGGTACGACTTCGCCCACAGACACCCAGCATAGTGTAAAATAGTCTCACACTATGCCGGTAACTGCTTTTAGTCTAATTGCTATCCCGACAATCTTCCTGACATGGTAGGACCTCCAGGAACATTAGTTCCCGTCAGTGTAGGTTGTTGGGTCATTGAGAAAAGCGAGCTCAACCACCACGTCAATGTAGCAGTTATCGGTCGGGATAATCTAATTGAATAATAATTTTTAAGAAAAACCACCTCTGGAAGTGTCTCAAAATAACGGCTAGCTTAAATATGAGCAATTGAATGGATCTCAGACTTGTTAGCAAAATCTGCTTTGAGATAATTAGTGTTCTATAATGGATTGTAAATTAATCAGTTAATTTAATCCTTCTATGCCTAGTGTGAAAAATACACCACTTAAAATGGCAGTTACCCGATTTCTAATGACGACCACGAATTCCAGCAGCAGCAATAGTAGTTAGATAATTGCCTCCTAACCATGAAACACGATAGATTTTCACCTGATCTATGACCTAGTAAATTATCCTTCAGCGAGGATAACAAAGGCTTCTTTGTATCCTTTTTAGTGTAGGCGTGATATTCGGCTACTAACCAAAGGATGTATGTACTGGGTAGTTAGATCCATACTTCTTTACGTTGTGAGACATGATCGTTGAAACCACAAGGTAGCCGTCTTTAGCAATAACTTTGCGCCTTCTAGCCTATCGTGTTAGTCAGTATACTGTGGTCAGTAATAATGACTGAGAGCAGACGTAGAACTTTAGGTAGATAAGAAAAGTCAATTGATGAGGTTGTGAAGCTGCATAAGTTGAGATGACTATAATAAATGTTACACATTCCAAACAATCGTTTTCGAGCAATGTCCGCTGATATAGAATTAGATAGGATAAGAGTGATCAAACCGTAAGTATGGCACCAGTCCATAATGTCTCCGAATGTTGGGTTCAGTCAATTAGGGCAGTGATGACTGCCCAGCTAGGGTTCTCGAGACATTAAGAACCAATGGCTTGAAATCCTCCTCAATGACACAGACGGCTTCATTGTCTGTGATCTCTCAGATTTACTATATCCTTACTATTCTCCAGGCAATTATCCTTCCTCTTTCCTCTCTACTTTTGTGTGTAAGTAGTTTTATGAAGTGTAACAACCTGAACTATTACACACACAGTTTAGTGCATAGCTCAACATTGAAAATTCAGTTCAGTCAATCAAACATCCCTTTATTTGACAAGATAACCAAATTAAAAAGATAAAAATGAAAAAACAAGAAACCCCAATCATAAAAAATAATGAAAATTCAAGGAAAATGCATATATCTATACATTTAATGTAAATCACTGATTTCTTTTTGGTTAATAATATTGAATGTCGCAACATGATCACTTAAGTAGAAATACAAACGTAAAACGCACAAAGACAGGGAAAGTAGGAGAAAGACAAAATATAAAGGCACAAATGAATGAATCACTAGCAATAATAATAATAATAATAATAATCGTGTGCATCTTCTTTTAACATAATCAAAATAAATTATTCAATGAAAAATTAGCTAGTTAATTTTTTCCTAAATCAAGCATCAAAAAAGAAGGCATATATATTATCGTGCAAGATATTCGCTGATAACAACACCTTGGCAAATTGCTACTGTAAACATATATGCATCGAGTTACATAATGTCTGTCTGTTTTCGACATAGAACTTTGCACATATGTGCGACAGTTCAAGTCGCCATACATAATACGCACTGTATTCGATTAGCTTAATACAAGAGTAATAAAAGTGATTAGCAATAATACTAAAGTGGTGAAATCACGTAAATTAGAGATCACAGAAACGAAGAGATTCAGTTTTATTTTATATCGTTGCGAGTTTCCCTGTTTTTTCAAAAGCAAAATCAGCTAAGATATACCAGGAAATATATATATATATATATATATATGTAGCTACAAATCAGAAATGATCAAAAGACAAAAAAATGGAAGAAATGAGACACAGCAAATTACATTCTTTCCTTATCTTCCTCTACCTCTTCCATCCTCTTATTCTATCATATCGATTGGGTATTATTTACAATAAGCAGCTTTGAGGAAAATGGTATTTTGCTGATTCGTTTGCAGTTTCATTATGACGATAATAATTTTTTTAAATAATTGGCTGTGCTGGGTCATATGATGAAATCAATTAGCCTTTACAGCATTTTGATTTTTGTTTTGTTTTGAGTCCAGAGATAGGTGTCAGTTGGACAACTGTTTGTTGAGCTTCTTGTTGCTTTTGAATGGCATTTAATCTTAAACGAAGTGCTTCTCTTGTAATAATGTCGAACATCTAAAAAGTATGAAAAAAAGTCCTTTTGAAATGCAATATTACGAAGATCACGATAAAGGTGTTATTTGCAAATGATACCTTATAGAGTATATATCGATTGATCACTGAAGATATCGTGTGTTTAGTACTGAATGTTGATGCATACTGAACTCCAGTCAGTTTGCAAAGTGAACACCAGTCTAGGAGACTTGCTATTGAGGTGAATTAGTGTTAGATGATTGGTGGCTATCGGCAGGAAGCCCTGCAACTAGTTGCTTACTGATACTCGTCTGCAAGGAGTATCTCCACCCCTGAACGGATTGAGGTTCCCTCTGAGATTCAATAACGAGCCCCCTACATTAGTAACGGTGTTGCAAGTCAACTGATAAAATTCAGTCGGCACCAACAATTAGGACTAGGCAAGTGACACTGGTTACCACCTAGTAACTAATCAATATAACCACCCCAGTTCTACGGAAGGGCGATCTTGAGCCTGAATAGCCCAGTGGTAGCGTATCTGACTGTAACGCTAGGTGGTATGATTATGGATCTCCGAGGAGACATCAGATATACCTTGCTGACGAGTGCCAATAGGCATGAAACCAAGGTCTAGACAAGGCTTCTAAATATGTGACATTAATATGAGGAATGTATCAGAAGCAAGAATACTACTCTTTATGTTGTGATTTATACAGATAAAAAACTGACATACTGAGTTCTGGAACTGTCTCAATTCACAGTACATAAATAACAAAAGTAGATTGAATCTGTATTTAAAAAGTGAGACATTTGATCAAAATGTATTATTTTTAAGTAGTTCAACCTTTCCCATACTCAATTTAGTGTATAATTATATTGGTTCACTGTAAAATTGTGCCAAGCACTACTGACAGATTTTATCAGTAATTCATAAAGACACGTTCATCGGCGTAAAAACACCAAATAGCAGGGAGATACATTTGATTTCAAAGAAAGCAAATGATACAACGTTGTGGAGATTCATGGGAGACGTGAAAAGAACACAACATGAAGTTCAGAAGTACCACAACACGAAGATCTGAGCAAACGGTGCTCTGAAGACAAGGTATGCATAATTTGGCTATATAGATGTCAGCTAATGATGAAAGCCTCCAACCAATCAAACAAAATCCCTTCAAAAAACAAATATCTGAAGATACCAATTTCTAAATAAACTTTCCTTTTCACCAAGTTTTCTTCTACCATTTCAAATCGCTGTACTTCTTACGCGTCCATTTCTTTTTCTTACGTACTGTTGCCAACTTTGACAACTCCAACTGATTCACAACAGTCAACAGACTTTATATTGACGCCAGCCTTATTTATTCATCCAACGTGTTAGGTTTTAAGGTAATAAAAAAAGCATAATGTTATGTCTGAACTAACCTCGCCAGATTACTAGCTTGTTAGTTTTCTAGCCGGCCCAAAGCCCGGGTAAAGAGGGAGGGTTGGGGCGTGGTGCTAGCAACTCCACTCCGTAAAACAACCAAATCGCTACAGAAACTTCAACGAATAAATATATTAAAAATTCCAAAAACATAAACAATAGCCTTATTTTTCGCTGGAATCGGGGAAGTGAAGTGACGCAGGCTGGTGAAAGCCTTCGGGAAGCCAGTCAGCCGATGTGCCTTCTTTCGATGAAAGCAAAAGTAAGGATGGGTACCTGGAATGTTCGTACAATGTACGAAATTGAAAAGGCTGCCCAGAGAGCCGCTGAAATGAGAAGGTACAGAATAGAAGTGTTAGGAATCTGCGAAAGCAGATGGAACGGAACTGGAAGATGCCAACTATCAACTGGAGAGACAATAAACTATTCCGGCCACCCAGAGGACAACCACGAGCACACCGAGGGAGTGGCCATCATGATGTCACCAACAACAACTAAAGCTCTCATGCAATGGGAACCAATCTCCTCCAGGATAATGACAGCCAGGTTCAACTCAAAAGGAAGGAAAGTTGCACTCATTCAATGTTATGCGCCTACAAACGTCTCAGAACAAGAGAAGAAGGAGGCGTTCTACAGACAACTACAATCAATAATGAACAACGTCCCAAATGGCGATATCAAAATCCTGATGGGCGACTTGAATGCGAAGCTGGGAGGAGTCAACACAGGAAGAGAACTCACCATGGGTCGAGAGCCCCTCGGTGAAATGAACGACAACGGTGAACTCTTCTCAGACTTCTGCGCCTTCAATGATTTGGTGATTGGTGGCAGTGTGTTCAAACACAAGGATATACACAAGACGACATGGATTTCACCAGATGGAAACACCAAGAACCAAATAGACTTCATCTCAATTTCAAGAAAGTGGAGACGGAGCCTACTGGACACAGGATCGAGGAGAGGGGCAGATGTAGGTTCAGACCACTAACTAACACAAAGGACTTTCTAGGTGAAACTAAAAGCCTCGAGGATAGCTGGGGATAGGCCACAATGCAAGTCCAACACTCAAAAACTGAAGGATACAACCACAAACGACACTTTCACTGCAACTGTCAGAGCAGAACAGGAAACACTACGTGACATCACGGAGGAATCAGGCGTGGAAGACCATTGGAACTCTCTGATGGTGATTTTCAACGAAACGTGTTCAACGGTTTTAGGAAGAAAGAAGAGACAAGACAAGGAATGGCTCTCAATGGACACTTGAAAGCTAATAGAGGAGAGTAGAATGGTGAAAGAAAAAAATGATTCAATGCAAAGACGGACAAGAGAAACAGACGCTGACTTTAACTTACACAGCACTGGACAAAGAAGTAAAGAAGAGTGCTAGGAAGGACAAATGACGATTCTACGACAATCTAGCTACTGAAGCTGAGAAGGCAGCAGGCAAAAGAGACCTGAGGACATTATATCAGATAACCAAATCTCTATCCGGGAAGAGATCAACGCAAGCGAAACCTATAAAAGATAGCCAAGGGAACCCAATCACCAAGCAAGAAAGGCAGATTAAACAATGGATGGATCACTTCAAAGGACTCTTGGACCGACTACTTCAACTACTCGAGTACTACGGCGTACCCCAAATATTCATCAACCTTATTCAACAGCTGTACGACAACGGCACATGTCAAGTCATCCACAACGGAAAACTCAGCGAGGCGTTTGGAGTAAACACAGGAGTTAGACAAGGGTGTTTATTATCACCAATGATATTCCTAATTGTGGTGGACTGGATTATGCGTCAAACAGTGGGAAACGAGAAAACAGGAATACCCTGGACCGACGCAAAGAACCTAGAAGACCTGGATTTCGGGCGTGGATGATTTATGTTTGATGTCACACAAAATAGAAGACTTACAAGCGAAAACCGACAAACTGGTCGAAGAAGCAGCCAGCGAAGACAGGACTCCAGGTGAACATAGACAAGACGGAGGTTATGAAAATAACCAGCCAACAAAAATAACAGCAGCAACACCCAGCGTCAATCACTATCAACGGGAGGGATTTGAAAGAGGTTACTTCATTCACTTATCTAGGGAGCATTGTCTCAACTACAGAAAGTCGGAACGGACGAGGATGTGAAATCGGGAATCAGGAAAGCGAGAAACACATTCATGCACCTGAAACCAATCTGGAAATCTTCGTCACCCAGCATCAACAACAAAATTCAATCGGATTTTCAATACAAACGTAAAGTCAGTTCTTCTATACGGATTAGAAACTTGGAGGGCCGGTCACAAAGAATATTTCCAACAGCCTGTTGCAGCCCTTTATTAAAAACTGTCTTCGCTCTATACTTAAGATCAGATGGCCGGAAAGAATCACCAACAAGGAACTATGGGAACAAACAAAGCAAGAACCAATCGCCCAACGAATATGCAAGAGAAAGTGGAGATGGATTGGAGACTTCCTGAGGAGACCGCTGGGTGACATCGCGCGCGCGTCAGGCCATTGCTCGAGTGGAACCCGAAAGGGAAGCGGCGTGTGGGACGTCCAAGGTTGACATGGAGGAGGTCGTGTGAAGAGGAGTTGAAACAGTATGGACTAACATGGATGCAGGTGAAAAGTACAGCAGAAGACAGAAGCAAATGGAGACGTACAGTTGAAGTCCTATGTTCCACTAGGAACCCGAGGGAGCAATAATAATAAATATGTCTGAACTACTTACAAAACACTAAAGCGTACACATCTTGTGAATTCTGGAAGGTTAATAAATGGAAATAACTCAAAAAAGCTATAGTGAGTCACTATACGAGCCCTAGCTAACTTCGGTCAAGTTTTAATATGAGTAAAACACAAAAAGGAATTGGCAGCAAGGGTTACAACGCCTATACCCTTTAACATATTCAATAATCACTTCTAAACGCATTAAAAATTGACTAATTCAAAAATGGAGCTTTCAAGTATATGGAATCAAATTTCACTTACTCTACAGGCTTAATGTTTTGTTAGTCGTTAGGAATGCCAGATTGAAACAGAAAAACAAACCACAAAGACTGAGTATTATTTGTCAGATGTTCCATCCCATAAGACTGTCATTCAAAACATTTAAAGTGAAGAAGTTATTGTGTAGATGCGTGACTCATTAATTGGCTGAAACCCTTTCAAGCAATGGGTTCTGAGTTTGAATCCCATGTAGAGTACTTCAGCACGGGTAAACCTCCCATAATAACCGTTGCTCATGACCTGGTATACATGAGAAGTCTGTTACAGGTAAGTGAATTCAAGGAACAATTAAAAACCAATTTTGTAACCCACATCCCAATGAAAAGTATATCCCCTTTGCTAAATTACTTCATTCTAGCATAAATATATTTATTTTTCACACTGGTCTAGGGTTTATGATCCATGAGTTCAGATGACCGGCTATCAAGATGAGTAGTTTCAGGTTGAAATATCTTCCCACTTAACACGAATGATTAATATTGACATCCTGAATGCATTATAAACACCATTATCATTATTACTGAGTAGAATTCCATACACCATAGGAGTTTTTCATCTTCTAGAAACGTACACATTTTAGACTGATTGTACACAGTGCATTGTCACATGACTAATCAATAAAAGCCGAAACAACAATCAACCATTAAAAGATAGCACCCTTCTAGCACCAAATATTGCACTAAAAGAAACTAAGGAAAATTGTAACCCAAAAATTTGAATAACAACGACAGCTGCCTTCTCTTATTAAACGAATATTTGAAAAGACATTAGAGATCACTATACCTGGTCAACATTTTCATCATTTTTGGCAGATGTTTCAATGAAAAAACACGAATTCTTAGCAGCTAACCGTTGGGCATCATAAGTAGCTACAGTCTTTAGTTCTTCACTTTCATTTTTATTACCAACTATTTTAAAACAAGATAAACACCAGTTGACATAATTAATGGGAAAGTGATAAGAAAGGCAAAATACAGCGCTATTACAATGATAAATACAATTAGAAGGTATGACCAAACTTTCATACAATGAACTGACTGATTTATTTTTAAGCAGTCCAAGCAGTCATACTTCATAAAATCACAAGCATAAAGATAGAGGAAAGAAATGCAAATAAACTTCAAGTGAACCGAAATTTACGAGAAAACGAATAACTAAATCTCGAAAAATACCCATTAATTCATAAGTAAAACACAGTTTTTGTTCAGCGAAGAAATTTCTTTTCAACGACTTCATTTTCAAGCTGTACAGTCGTATTTATATTACAGAAAAAGGTTATTAAGTGGCACTAAATAATTGCTCAGTCAATGTACGTATATATGTGATAAAAGTTATAAGGGGTAGAGTTGAAGTGGATAAATTACAAAAATATTAAAGATTGTTCTATAACAAAAATGTCAAGTGTTGTCTAAAAATTTTGAAAATTAGGAGTACGATTACGATAAGAATGAAGATGTGAAGTGAAGTGGAAAGAATTCAAGTGGTAAAATAAAATAAAAACTAGAAAGAACATTATTATGACCAAGGTAAAGAAAGGGGTTTGACAAAACGCTTTTGAACACATAATTTAGGTTTCTGTTCATGTATAGCTAAAGCTTCGGCTATGCATAAGTGAAGAAAACGTAAACTTTTGGATCGATTCGATTTTGCCATGTATATAACTTTGAAAGATGAATCACGTGGGGCTAAATGACCAGACTCTAACAGGTGATCACAAATAGACGACTTTGCAGTTCTACGTTCGCCTTTCATTAACCAAACCGGATAGTGTTCAGCTACACGTTTTCGGAGATTACGCTTACAACGTCCAATATAAACAGCTCCACAAGAGCAAGTAAAAGAGTAAATGCACATAGATGTGGACAAAAGCGGTAATCTATCCTTGACGCATTGTCTGATCATATTTCGGCTGGTAAAAACTAGTTGCAGGTCAGCTGCAGGAAAAGTGCGTTTAACACATTTAGATAAACGATTTTTAATCAATTCTGAAATGGTGTCACCTTTGAATGCAAGACTCATAAACAGCTTTTTCTTTGGTACTGTGACTTGTCTCGGGGCGGATTCTTTCTTGATGTTACGTTCAATGAACCTTGTGGGATAACCATTGTTAAGGAGATTTGATCGAAGGTTATCTAGTTCCCTATCGATTGTCTCTGCAGAGCAGATTTTACGAATTCTGGAGCATAAGGAATGAATAAGATTTCTCTTTCTCCCTAAAGGTACCCAACTGTTGAAGTTAGTGTACTGCCCAGTGAATGTTGGCTTTCGGTAAATCGACCTTAACAGCGTTCCATTCTCTCTTCTATCTAGCTTAACATCAAGGAAGTGAAACGAAGAATCCGACTCTTCTTCGATCGTGAAAAGCAAAGATGGGTGAGAACCATTAAATATTCTAAGAAGTTCGGCAGTTGAAGTGTTTTCATCACATACAATGAAGGTATCATCAACATATCTTTTATACATAAACAGACTATCGATGGTTTCCTTTAGTGGGCCATTCTCTAAGCTTGCCATGAAAACGTCCGCTAAGAGCGGTCCTAAAGGAGACCCCATGGCGACTCCATCCCTTTGATTGTAGATGACATCATTAAATCTAAATTGCACATTCAGTGTGCATCTCAATAGTAGTTGTTTAAGATAATCAGTTGGTAAGCCAATGTTCATGCTATTTGAATCAATATACTCGCATAGATAGCAGATAGTGTCTACTAGTGGTACATTTGTGAACAATGAACAAATATCTAACGAAATCATATGCTTACCAGTCACATTAATTTCATCAACACAACTGACGAAGTCAAAAGTGTCGGAAAGACTATGTTTACATAGATTTAATCTAACTGGTTCCAGAATTTCCGCAAGCCATTTAGCGGTAGAGTGATACGGCGAATTCAGCATATCCAATACAGGTCGCAGAGGGACATCATCTTTGTGCACCTTTGGAAGACCATATAAACGAGGGATAGTTGAACCAGATGGTTTAAGCTGTTCATACATATATGGAGTAATGATGCATTCTTGCTTCAATTTCGTCAAAGTTTTAGATAATTCCTTCTCAATATTATCTGTCTTGTCCTTTTGATCGGGTGATTTTAGAAATTTTTCTTCATCACTCAGGATGGTACATAATTTATTGACATAATCATCACGATTAAGAATAACAATACCTGATCCCTTGTCTGGACGAATCAGTATTATGTTTTTGTTGTTAAGCAATTCATTTAGTTGTCTTTTGTGTTCTTTTGATAACATTTGTCGTTGTCTGCCTTGCGTTCTTTGGTACTGGTAATAACAATGAAGTAATGAAGATTTGAATTGTTCAACGTCTTCGCTAGACATTGGACTCAAGTCATGTGTTTGATTCATGAGATTTTCAAACTGAACTTTTGTGTCTAATTCGTTGACTCTGGACGAAACAGTAGAGAACTTCAGACCCAGAGATAGGATTTGCATTTGAATATCCGACAAAGTTAAATTAGAATAGTTAAAAACGTATTTCTCTGGCGAATCCGGAAACTTAAAGTGAGATTCGATTGTTTTACAACTTTTCAGTATATTTATTTTAACATCTTCAGATCGTTTCTTTATAACGTCAGAAATATAATCCTCAAACAGGCTACATTCTGTCTCTGTCAGTTCAAACAAGAAATGCCTACGTTGAGATACGTTATTCTCAAGTTCCGGAAGACGCGTTTGTATGGCATCGATCAGGTTCAACGCATGACGCTTAAGAGTTCGACCGTTTGGATAAATATGATTTTTTCCAGTAAAATTTCGGATATTCTCCATTCTCAGTGCAGCTTTTGAGAGTATCAGAATTAGCATTAGAAATCTTATTCATTCCTTATGCTCCAGAACTCGTAAAATCTGCTCTGCAGAGACAATCGATAGGGAACTAGATAACCTTCGATCAAATCTCCTTAACAATGGTTATCCCACAAGGTTCATTGAACGTAACATCAAGAAAGAATCCGCCCCGAGACAAGTCACAGTACCAAAGAAAAAGCTGTTTATGAGTCTTGCATTCAAAGGTGACACCATTTCAGAATTGATTAAAAGTCGTTTATCTAAATGTGTTAAACGCACTTTTCCTGCAGCTGACCTGCAACTAGTTTTTACCAGCCGAAATATGATCAGACAATGCATCAAGGATAGATTACCGCTTTTGTCCACATCTATGTGCATTTACTCTTTTACTTGCTCTTGTGGAGCTGTTTATATTGGACGTTGTAAGCGTAATCTCCGAAAACGTGTAGCTGAACACTATCCGGTTTGGTTAATGAAAGGCGAACGTAAAACTGCAAAGTCGTCTATTTGTGATCACCTGTTAGAGTCTGGTCCTTTAGCCCCACGTGATTCATCTTTCAAAGTTATATACATGGCAAAATCGAATCGATCCAAAAGTTTACGTTTTCTTCACTTATGCATAGCCGAAGCTTTAGCTATACATGAACAGAAACCTAAATTATGTGTTCAAAAGCGTTTTGTCAAACCCCTTTCTTTACCTTGGTCATAATAATGTTCTTTCTAGTTTTTATTTTATTTTACCACTTGAATTCTTTCCACTTCACTTCACATCTTCATTCTTATCATAATCGTACTCCTAATTTTCAAAATTTTTAGACAACACTTGACATTTTTGTTATAGAACAATCTTTAATATTTTTGTAATTTATCCACTTCAACTCTACCCCTTATAACTTTTATCACATATATACGTACATTGACTGAGCAATTATTTAGTGCCACTTAATAACCTTTTTCTGTAATATAAATACGACTGTACAGATTGAAAATGAAGTCGTTGAAAAGAAGAGCATAGAGAGATAATGTATGTGTGCTAAGTAGATCGATTTTGAGCTGTCAGAAACGGTATCTAACCATTGGTTCTTGGGGTTTGAAGGACTCCAGCTAAGCAGTCTACACCTTCCTACGTGGCTCACCTCAACAGTCAGAGGATTCATGGAGAGTTGACAGTGCAGAAGGGTTTAATCTGATAATTTTAATATATGCGTGCAGGTGAACTGATGATGCAGTAGTTGGGTTTCGTGCGTGTGTGAACTTTGGTGTTTGCTTTTGTGAGTGCGTTTTTTAGTTTGTTTCCTTTCTTCTTTCCCTGATTAGTGTGTGTGTGTGTGGTTACTATTGGTGCTTATGATGGTCGTGATGATGATATGTGTGTTTTGGTTATTGAATGGTTGATTGAGCACGATGAATATGACTTGTATGTTTGTGGCCGACAACTGCTACCTTTGTGGTGGTGGTCGGGCTTGAATAGCGCAGTGACCAAACAAGCTACATTGGCTGGCGCTTATGCTCCTGCAGGTCCTACCATGTCAGGAAGGTTGTTTGGAAAGCGTCTAGACTAAAAGTAGTTGCTACGGGGCTCCAGAATCCAATCAGATCCAAAGGCATGTGAACCTGTTTCGGTCGCCGGCAGTCATGGAAACGTAGATCCTGACGCTGCCCCGCCACATGGCGGATTAGACTCTAAGGTTCGGAGGTGGTGCCTTGAGACAACCACCTGCTTCGGTCTGGACGCCCGGGCAGTATATCAGTCCTCACAACCAATGGAATGAAATAACAAACTGCCGGCAAAACTATTCGCATGCTCATTACAACGCTCTTGAACATTAACGATATTTCAAGTGACGCATTTCTTTTTAACCCTATTTTGTAAATATGCTTTTGTGTTATACCTTCGTTATCCTTGTTGTCTACCCTTTCATCAGTCCTTCACCTTTGTATAGATTCTCAGCCTATCTGTGCCGTTTCGAGATATCAGTGAATAGCCTTCAAAATGTGGTCACCAGTGCAGCATCTAACACAGGTATCTTGGAACCACGTGTCGCGCTCAAGCTAGCCACCTAAAATGTTGGGACACTGATATAAATCGGACAACAGACAGATTTGGTAAGAACATTGGGAAACCTCTTTCTACCGACGTCTGCTGCATTTCGCAGACCCGCATTCAAGATCCTAGTGAAGTGATTCGATTATCTTGTCTATTTGAAAGATAGAAAAGTATGTGTGTATGTATGCGCTATTTCGGGGACCCTATGGCGTCCGCATCCGGCGCGGTTGGTGTCGGTGTTGCACTAAGTGCTACAGCCGAAGCTGTATTACTCTACTGGATCATCATTAACAGTTGTTTATGTGCGATGAGGCTGGAAGGTTATACGAAAGTAAGAAGTGGTAGACCAGATAGAAGGTTCCTATTTTTTGTCTCTGTTTATGCACCGACGGATTGCAGCCCGGACGCAATTAAGGATGAGTTACACTACCAGCTGAGCGATCTCTTGGAATAGCTGCGTCGAAAAGATGCCGTAGTACTGGCTGGGGACTTGAATGCACAGGTCGGGTATCTAAGCTCAGAGGAGAGTCGTCTAGGTGGTCAGTAAGGTTTACATTGTCACCGGTCAGATAATGGGGACCATCTTCTGCACCTTTGTGTAGATCACAACCTATTTCCAGCCAACACCAACTTTCAGCACAGCCATCGCCATAGCGCTACCTGGCGCCCTCCCTCTGCGAATCAAGCTTGGATTCAGATTGATAATATCGGTCAATTTCCGGTGGCGAAGATGCATAGAAGACTGCTGCTCCTTCTAGAACACATGTCTGGGCTCCGAACATGCGTTAGTGTGTCCCAGGTTCGTTTTTCGATTTGGTAGAGTTCATAAATGGTTTCATCTAAACGTTGATGTGAGCAAACTATTAGCACCTGCTACTTCTTTGAAATACCAGAATGAGTTACAATTAATCCAATCCCCCAAGTAGTACAGATGAACATTGGCTTCATTTGCTAGGTGTCATGGAAATGGTGAGTGTAGCCGCTTGCGGCTAAAAAAGAATATTCTGCTAAACACCACTAGGTTTCTGCGAGTTCCTTGCAACTCCTGGATGAACGCTGGTCCACTCCGGTTGGCAGAGAATACAGCAATATGCGAAAGGCGCTTACATGCAAGATAAGACAGTCTTTACGTAAGGACCGCGAAGCCTGGTGATCAGAACGTGCGTGTGAGATAGAGTCAGCTACTGTATCTAGCTACAGTCGGAAGCTGTTCCAGCTGATGGCAGCCACCAGCAGCAAGGAACAAGGTATTAGCAAGATAGTCTGTGAGGCAGGTGGCACGCCAATTACCAGTCTGAAAAAACACATGGAACGCTGGTAGAGCACTTCGAGAAGTACTTCAGCTCGCCACCAGCTCCAGTGCTCCTTGGTCGGTCAGAATCAATCCACCAATCGAAGCGGAGGTCCGGAAGGAACTCCAAGTTCTGAAACGCCATAAGGTACCCCCGACCCAGACATACTACTCCCGGTTCTTTTTAAAGATGGTGACGACACCCTGGTCATGGCTTTAACTGGATTATTCAGGAAGGTATGGAAGACTGAGCATGTACCATAAGTGTGGAATAAAGCCATAATCGTCCCCATCATTAAAAACAGTCGACGTAACACATTGACAGCCATAGGGGCATTAGTCTGCTACCGATTGCGTCTAGAAAATTGGCTGCTGTCCTGTTTCACAGACTGCAAAACAAGTGAGGGAATGATTCGCGAAGAGCAGGCTGGGTCTCGTTCAGGCTGTGGATGCACTGATCATGTGTTCACCCTTCGTCACTTGTTGAAATACCACCATACGTACAGCAGGCCAACAATCGTTGTGTTTCTTGATATCAGGGTTGCCTTCGATTCGGCGGATAGAACTGTATTCTGGAACTGTCTGTTAGACAGAGGCACACGTGAAAAGTTGGGAACATCCTGAAAGCCCTATACAGAAACACCTCAGGGAGAGTGAGGGCATACAACCAACTATCATCACTGTTCCCAACCAACAGTTGCATTAGACACGGTTGCCCGATCTCTCCATTCCTCTTTAACTTTGCCATCTACGACATTCTGGAGTCAGCTATGAAGGATGTGCATGAAGATGGTGTAGATCTGCTTCCTGGAGAAAGACTTTTGGACCTCGAGTACGCAGACGATATCGCTTTACTGTAGGCAGCATGCAGGCTGCCCAAATCGCACTTCGTCAATACCTGTAAGTAGGTATATGCTTTGCATCGTCTAAGTGCAGAGTACTGTTACAAGATTGGCAGGAGCCTGTACTTGCAGTCACTCTGGTAGGTGAACCGCTTGAAGTTGTCGATAAGTTCTTGTATCTGGGTAGTTTTGTGAGTGCTAGCGGAGGCGTGACGGATGACATTTCCAAACGTATCATGAAAGCTAGAGTGGCATTAGTCAACTTGAGCCACCACCAGAGCCGCCGCAACATTAGCCTGGCTGTAAGAACTATGACATATAACATTACGATTTAGAGGAAGAATACATTTGAATGGATTTGTACCATGTAAGTATGAATGATAAAACCCACACTAAATATGAATTGGTACAGTACAAAGACATGCATAAAATAATTTTTCTCGTACATAAAAAACGTAGGAGTCCCAATATTTACGAAATGTCACTGTGCTTAACCTGCTCGGTCACTGGTTCATACGCCACTGAGTATAGTTGGCTCTCCTTATTCATATATTCCGATACTATTCTGCCTGTCTTTTGTGTATTGAGAGGCTTAATTAAGAACTACAACATAACTAAAACTCACATAAAAGATGCAAGTTAATCTGGTCAAATATTTGACCAACTTTGAGATGTTGCAGTAGTTAACGCCTATCTTATAAAGCATTCGTACTGTATGCATTTTAATGTTAACCTGAGCTGAATATAATAGAGATCATAATATTTTATTTGATCTGTTCCACAATGCTGAAACTTTTTACTGACATTAGTTCACCGGATGCAAATTACATAAGAGATGTGATGCCTGGCTGTCCATGAACATAGTTGATAATCGTATGGCCCAATCGTCAGTGGAATTATTAATTAAGTTTCTCATCAATACCACAAATGAATTCCCATGATACATATGGAAACATTGTTGCCAATGTACATAGACAGCCTCATAACAAAACAATTATGGACATATCGGATACATCGAAAATTAAAATACTTCAGTATAGTCTGAAGAATTGTATGTTTTTATTTTCAGAATGCTTATTTTCAGGAAACAGTATTTAGTAAATCGTGAAAATAACTGGTACATCGAACCTTAGATTTATTGAAAACTGTGCATATACTTTGAAAAGTAGTACAATGTCGAATTAGAATAAAGAGGAATGATAAACAAATATCACTCACCTAATATTCTTGCTACACCTTCATCTGCATATGTTTGTGCCTCTTGTACCCACTTTTCAACGTTACAAAAAGTTCTTACATCATTCACATCATATACAATGATAATTCCATGAGCACCACGATAATATCTATTAATTTACTGAGTCAAAATTTATTTTTAACAAAAGCATACGTTGAAGTGATAGTGCGAAATCTTTCCTGTCCAGCCGTATCCCAGATTTGTAGTTTAACTCTTGTGTTCCCAATCATGACTGTTTTGACCTTAAAATCTACTCCAATAGTACTCATATAGGTGTCACTAAAGCCGTCATCAATATACCGGAAGAGAAGGCTACTTTTTCCAACGTCTACAAGCAAAAATGAGGATTTAACAGGATAAGCGAAAGTGAACTATATATATATATATATATATATATATATATATATAAACAATTAGTCCATTTGATAAATTTGAATAAGGCATTCAGAAGACAAATTTTGTGAGATATCATTTCGCAGTCTCTCTGCAATCGCATGACAACTAGCCTGGAAGCACTTTGGATTAATCACACACATCCCTAACTATGTATACAAAATGAAACAAGCTTCAACCTTCGCTTAACATGGACTACTTGACCTCTTTATGTATCATTAGTCATAAACATTTACTTTTGTTTTATATTACTAAGTAATTGTCATCAATTTTATTATTATTGTGACCCATGCTAGTTGTGAAGCGATTGCAGAGAAACTAAGAAACCACATCTGGCAAAATTTGTCTTCCGAATGCGATATTCCAATATATATATATAAACGTCTTCAGCTGCCTCTTCGAAAACCTTTCCGTGACACAGCCAAGATTCTAAAACACTGGTTTTGGAAATCAGGATCCCGATGTTTAGGCTACGTGCAGACGACTTCCAAACTGATTTTGGAGTGATGAGTGTCCGCCTTGCCTTTCAGATTCTGACATTACCATCTTCATCCATTCCACCTGTAGTTGAAACGATACTGACTAGATAGGTGAAGAAGGTAACCTCTGTTAAATCTCTCCCGTTGATGGTAATTGGTGCTGGTTGTTGTCGTTATTGTGGTCCGTTGGTTATCTTCATCACCTCCATCCTCTCTATGTTCACCTACAGTCCTGTCTTTGTTGATCCTTCAACCAGTTTGTTAGTTTTCGCCTGTAAGTCTTCGAGTTTATGTGACATTAGAGACTAATCGTCCGCGAAGTTCAGGTGTTCTAGAGTCTTCTTATCGGTCCAGAGTATTCGTGTCTTCCCACTCCCATGCACAGTCTCACGCATAATCCAGTCCACGACAATTAGGAATGTCATCGCTGATAATAGGTAGCTAGCTTGTCTTACTCCTGTCTTCACTTCAAAGGCGTCGCTGAGTTTTCCGTTGTGGCTTACTTGACATGTGGTATTGTCGTATGGTTGTTGAATGAGGTTGATAAAGATTTGGGCACTGCACGCCATAGTGTTGAAGTGGTTTCCAAATTACTTTTCGGTCAACGCTGTCGAAGGCCTCTTCAAAAGCGATGACGTTGAGGCAGAGATTTGATTTCCATTCTATGCTCTTTTGGATGATGATGAGTAGAATTGCAATTTGATCCTCACATGATTTGCCTTCCCTAGATCCAACTTGTTCTGGGCTGTCAGAGTTCTGCATCCAGCGCATCTTTTATTCTCTTCCGGAAGATGCGACTTAGTATTTTACTTGGCGTGGACAGGAGTATGATTCCATGCCAGTTCCTGCAGAGGCCTAAGTCGCCCTTCAGGATTCAATTAATGTGCACATAATGTACACTGAATACGACAGACTTCCTCATAACCAAGCATGACTACATGTCAACTCATTAGGATAATAGCTGTTTACCCTACTGTCAACGCACTATTAAGCTATATATATATATATATATATATATATATATATATATATATGAAACCCGTAAAAATCAAAACTTCAAATATCAATCTTTATTCTTTGCCAAGTTATAAATACACCAAAGTAGTATAAAACTTCAAAAAGAAAGGCACCCCAAGTTGTCTGAACAGGTCCTTCATGTCCCAGGATATGAGCAACATTTGCTGCGTGAAGGCTGTTAACAATGCCCATCTACCAAGGCTAAGGTAGGCGGGGAGGGTTTTGAACCCAGGACCTACTCACTGAAGGTTGAGTGTCTCAGCTAGTGAGTCCCGTTAGTGGCCGCTACAAGTTAACAAAGATGTGAAATGCACCAACAAACCAAAGACCAATACATGTGTGTGTCACTAGTTTATACAAGGGGAAATGATCTGTTCATAAAGGTAGTTAAAGGATCATAAGAACAGATTACCGGACAAACAAAGACAAGGTAATAAAATTAGAAAATATTTCAATTCGCTTATTTCCTAAGAAGTCTTACTTTTCTATCGTTAAAAGTATTTCAAGCTGATACGGAATTGTAGATAGAGCCGGCTACTTCATAAGACAAGAATAGCTGGCTAGTATTTCTCAGACCACAGGTTAATAAAATTGATAAGCCTGTAGAATACGGATATTCGTTGCTATTTAACTATCCTAACGGATCTCAAATAAACTAGTGGAAGTTCGACACATGAAAGATAGCAGGTTGACTCAATGAAGTCATAAAAGTGGTAAGAATGTATTTATTCGAAGATTGTATTACACCAAAGTCAACTTGCTATGCTTCGATATAAGTTCCTCATCGCATTCATTTTTATCTGCTTTTAAATTTCCAAATGCATTCTAAGGGGAATGCGTTTACTGCTGTTCAGAGGAGGAAGGAAAATATGATGTTAACATACTAACATGGCAGTAAAAACAAAGAAATTAAACTTCTATACCCGTAAAACATGGATTCTACTACGTAAGTATGCTTAGCAGTTTCTACATACTCAAGCGGAAATCTGCGTCAAACCATTTGTATTTGATGGTAACGCTGTCAAGGTGGTTCCCAAATGTGATACAGTTTTCCTTTAATAAGGCAGGTTGCCTTAAAGAACTGATTTCTACGGTGCAACTATATTATTTTTGATATTCCAGAGGCTTTTATATAGTTTCCTGCTATTAACCTAATGAGTGAGTGACAAGATATGTTAATTGTATGACACATTTACTGATATCGACCTTGACATTTTAAGTCTATTTTACTAACTTCACTTACTACGATGTCTTAAATAGAATTAAAGCAGCACTATGTGAGACCCTACGTAACATTTTTGACAAGACAATATTAAGCTATCATCCGGAAACTAAAAACAATTCAGTAAAAACGTGGTTTTTACATGTTGCCAGCACCTAACCACTTCTACAGTGCATCAACACAGTAAAGCGCAGTAGGAACTGCCAAAAAATCTAAGTATTTTACTTTCGCATGATGAAGACGTTTGTCAAGAAAGTGGGTATGCTACGATCATTTTCGGAAGTCAGACTAATGGAAACGACATGCAGCTGGATAATTCCAGAAAAAGTCCTTTTGTTTTGAATAGTTAATAATAAATGCAGACTGCTATGGAAACGTCCCCGCGATTTCTCATATTTACTTCCTGAGTGATGACTTACCAGATGCAAGGGTTTCCAAAATGAATTTATTCAAATGACACTGGTTTTTTAATCAAATAAAGAATGAAGTTGAATTCCTTGTTTCCGAGTTTTTTCCTTGACTATAGTCTAATGATTCTGTCTTAAGACCTACATGTAGGCTTGAAACACAGGAATAGTGAGTTGATCTCTCATTGGTATTCGTATACTTTAATAACACTAGCTGTGTTTTAGTATGTCAACATCCTTAACAACTTCACTAGAGCTCTCTTAGAAAAAGCCTTCATATCCCCAGATAGGTTTCCGTCGGACACTCATACAACTAATATTCTACTTCTTATGAGTGAAATACGACCGGTACTTGTGGGGCTAAATATTTATGTATCATATCATTATACTAAGTGTAAGTCAACCAAGATGTCTCTCACTCCGTAGTGTTGAGTTCTGAACATCACGCTGATCAGATATTGTCGTCGAAATTATGAACTGTTACTCCTAGACCCAAATACTATGTACAGACTTAATTTTTCCTTTGAAACAATCAGAAGGAAAATGTTCAGCAATCAACATTTTATCTGCAACGACACACCGAAGTGCAGGAGTTTTATGAGAATAGTGAGGACATCATATGGAAGGGTGGAGGTTTGCGCTATTCACACGCGCATGTTAACTAGAAGACTTCGGAAGAGTAACAGTAGCCACACAAAAACAACAGACAGATGTGCTACTTTCATAGGATATTAAGATTATTATAAAACACCGTAGGTACAGTAATAAAAGTACCAATAAATGTCGGTACATTAACCAAACTTTCCCAAATTCAACAAATGTTGCGAAATAATGATGTTACTTATGAGACAAGAACTAGCTGAATACAAGGCCATCTCTATACCTAACAAAAACCATGCAAAAAATATTTACGGAAAAGTAATTATTTAGGTTGGCGACTCTTAAAATAGAGTCGAAATAACAATGCATAGGAAATAAACATGATTCCACGGCTGGGAACGCATGTGATACAGTACACAATTAGTTTTCAATCTCTTAAAAGAAGACTGAGGTGATACTTAGACTTTTTTCAATAATGACGTAACTTACTCATGTCTCCTATCAGCAGTAACTTTAGTAGGATATCAGACCTCCCAGCCTGATCCATCTGAGGCGCGAACATCACACTTGGCGCTTCATTTTGTGGATTACACAGATCGAAGAACACGGCATGACTTATATATCACGTTCTGTTGAAATTCCACCTGAAAAGTTTATTTTGTCAATAAGGTTTAGTAAAATTGTGTTATATGCTATCTGGATTGATGGGAATCCCCATTTCCAGGCCAGTTATGTTGGTGGCTGCTTCATGTGATCTTACTGCCACACACTTACCATATTGGTTGCAATGATTAGCCGACGATTAGCACGCGTTCAAGGCCATTGGAGCGTACGCACTTCTCGGATGTGTAATCCCACTCGTCAAGCAATGATCTGAAACAGAGAGCAAAGCCTACGTTAGCAGTGTGATCACACAAGTGTTGCGTGCTAGTAAGAACGAAGACTCAAAGTCAAGTATTATATTTACAACCAATCGCAATACAATTAGATAAGAGGGAAGGGTCACTCCTATTGGTCATCCGTTGCCTCGTCTTGGGTAACCAATCCCTGCATACTTCGCAGCCAACCTGAAAGTAGACAAGCGTAGTTTGAACATCAGAAAACCGCCGAACTTACCATGCCTTACAGATGCTATTATTGAACTTCGCCCTCATCTGGCTGACCGCTCAAGGTCATTAATCCGATTATGAACAACATTCGGTGACTCCAAACTATAGCAGGCCACAGCGAAACTACCTAATGCACAAATTGATGACCTTGACAAATGTATTTACAAAAACTGGTTTAACCTGAGTGTAAGGAACTCTATGAAAAACTAGGAGGCTTTTCGGGGCATATGTAAGAATACTGTCCTATGTAACCATTTCTAAAAATTGCATGTGAATGCTTGCTCTGTCCGCCATTAAGCACTGTGAGAGTGATCGGTCCCATTCCCTGGGGTTGTTTTGATCTACATATGCCTGCAAGAGGGATTTAAGTGTCCGATTGGTGCGTTCAACCAAGCCATTTACCTGTGGGTGGTAAGCGGTAGTGCGTGTCTTCCGGATGCCCATTATACGACAGAGTTCGCTGACAACGATACTTTCAAAGTTTGATACTCGATCTGAGTGCAGGTGAAGTGGTGCCCCCCAACGCCTGACACAGTGGTCAAAAATTGACTCTACGATGGTTACAGAATAAATCTGTGGGATCGCAATAGCCTCGCACCATTTGGTAAAATGGTCTACCGTGACTAAAATATAGTGACTAAATATAATGACTAAAATATATATAGTAAACGAATTGTACAGTTCTCCTCCAGGTTGAGCGGGAAAATCGACTTCGTTTCGGTTTCATCCCGTCGTTGTAGGCACACGATAACCAACCAGTATTGAGGTAAGTACAAGGGACTGAAAGCTGTTTTAGAAAAATTAAAGTGCTAAGGTGAATCAATAAAGTTCAATGAAATAGGTAAGTGCAAGTATCATTAATAAATGCATTAATAAAGGGAAATCCCTAGGCTGACAACGTTCATTTGCAATGTATAATGCTACCCCTATAGCTCGTACTATCATGATGTCCACTTTTGATTTTAATACATTTATCCTAATGCGGGTTGTTTTTATTTTATACCTTTTGTGCATTTGGTGCACAACCGTACCCTACAGAGAATAGGAATAGAATGAGTCTAATCGAATTCATATAGAGCTATAAAATGTTGGGTTTAGTGGAATATAATGAGGATCGAGTAAAGACGTTATTTGAAAAGAAATGAGATGAGACATTGTGAAGTGGTATTCAAAGATCCGACAATGGAAAGCGAGTTAATTTATAAGATGCCCCATAAATCTGTGCAGATCCCTCGTGGTCGCATAGGTATAAACAAATGTAATTTCGAAAGACAGTGCATAATCGTGCAGCATTAAACGAATAAGTAGTAGTAAGTTATAATATGTCGGCTGATGTTTATGGTAGATAAGGCGATGTCTTTCAAGGAAACCAAGTCCAGTATATTGTGGTTTCGGGTGGGTTTTGAAATACTTTGTGCCATCACATAACTTAACTGCATCTATGAATTTTCTGTAACGGGGAGGAGCACTGATGCAATGACACCAGAGTGCACTCGACCCCAAATTTCCAAATGACCTGCAAAAGTAACCACAAATTAGGAGAAATAGATTTTAATATGCAAAATATAGACTCAGCGATTAAGACATTGAAGTCAAATGGCAGTACTGGAACAGACGACATACCATCTGTCATATACAAAAATGGTAGCACGGAAATGGTAGTCTTGTTACTTAGAATATTTACTCTGTCACTGGAAACTGGAACTTATCCTGAAGTGTGGAAAACCACATACATACTACCTAAGCACAAAGCAGGGGCCAAAACCAGTGCATGCAACTATAGACCTATTAATATAACACCGGTAATATCACGAATAATGGAGAAAGTGGTTAAAGACCAAGTGTCAGACAACTTACTAGAACATGAACTTATCAACCCATCACAACACGGATTCCTCAAAAAGAGATCATGTGCGACCTGTCACATAGACTTTTTCAATGAAGTTACACGAAGCAGGGACAACAGAGAACTAGTAATTGTGCTATACTTCGATATAACAAAAGCCTTCGATAGAGTCCCCCATAATCTGCTAGTCAGCAGGTTATGCTCACTAGGGATATGTGACCCTCTCCTGAGCTGGATAAAATCATTTCTCCGTGACAGGAATCAGATAACAAAAGTTGGCTCGATAATCTCAAGGCCAAAACCTGTAAGTAGTGGTGTAATCCAGGGAAGTGTATTAGGCCCACTCCTATTCATAATATATATAAACAGTATCTGTGAATGCTTTAGTGTTGGTAAACCAATACTATATGCAGATGACTTAAAAGTGACCTATAAATGCAAGAACACAGATCTCGGAATAACATTAAACGCCATACAGCAAGAATTAGAAAAAATGGATAGATGGTGTGACACCTGGCAACTCCAGTTTAATGTCGACAAATGTGGCTGGCTCTGCATAGGTTGCAACAATTTAGAACTTGACCTGACAATTCAAGGCCATGCACTTTTACGACTGGAATCTGTATTGGACCTAGGACTGAAATACTCACATGACTTATCATTTTCTGAACATATCTCCAAACAAGTGTCAAAGTCACGCAGACTTATCGGCTTTCTACTCAGGAACTTTTACAGAAATGAGTCCAGAATTCTGTTGTACAAGGTTTGTGTGCGTCCTTTATTTGATTACTGTTCATTCATGTATAGTAGTATACGCATAGAGGACAAATTGAAAGTCGAGGGAGTGCAGAGGTACTTCACGTCAAAATTACTCGGAACCGAAAATGGTGCGAACTACTCCACTAGATGTGACACCCTAGGATTAGAAACACTATGGCTAAGACGCCTGAGACTAAACTTAACACTTTACTATAAGCTTCTAAACCACTTAGTTTTTACCTCTACTAATGGCATTCGACTTTCAGATGACAGTGTCTACAAACTAAGACACACTAAGGGTACAGTAGCTATCGAACAATGTAAAACAGCTACCAGGCAAAAGTTTTATTTGATTAGGTATGCACAGATATGGAATAAACTACCAATGGAAATGCGTCAAGCAGGTACATTGGCTTCCTTCAAAAAAGTGCTTAACGACAAACTACACGAGTTTGCAAACGACAGTAGTCTTAGTTCCTATCTGAGAGCCTCCGAAATTATAGGTCCATTTAATGTATAAGTTCAAATACTACACCTGCTGTTTTTGCCTATATTTATAATTTTAGATAAAACATTAACGATTAAGATACTTACCCTCAAACAGACAAGAAGTTTCGTTTGTAAAACTTCTACCCAACACAATAAGTGGAATAAAATGGACATAAACCGACAACATGAAAAAGGTTATAACTCACCACAACATCACATGGACAGATGTACGCTCGTCGGACATCATATATGCATCACCAACTACAACCCAACATTCCTGAGATAATGTGATGAACTTATATCCATAATGTTGCTGAGCAGTCAATATCCACAACTCCTGTCGGAACAACTAAAATTCAAAAACCTTCCTCACGAGAAGTAAATACCCACAAGCAGTAGAAATCCATTAATTAATGCGTCTAAAGCTTATGTATTTTACTCCCAACAATGACATTGCAGATCAAATGAGATAAGCATATCACTGATTTCAAAATAACACATCAATGAACTATAATTCAAGGATTCTGCACACAAAAAAGTATTGTACGAAAATTGACTTCAAGCTTTATTTTTTTCCCAGGCACTTATAACCCATCCACCAAAGACCTGGTTTTTTTCTTAATGCGAAGACAATACTTCTGTATTTCCTGATGTGTTGCACTCACTGACAATCTAGCGGATTTTTCCAACTATGCACAGAAATGATTGTACATAAGTGAAAAGGATGTTTTATACTATTGGGATTAACATTTATCAAGTGTATGTATAATCTCCAGTGTACATGTTAAACATATTTTGCTATCGACTGTAAATTGTGACTGAATAATATGATCCTATTTCTGTAACAATTTGATGATGCCTGTAAACTGGCGTCCCTCATGTACTGTATCATGAGAATAAATTTATTTATTTATTTATGATGGGCCCCATGAAACTTCAGGCATGTTAACGTCACCTCCAATCACTTTACAAGTAAAGTCTAATTTCGAAGTGTAATGGAAGGTTGCAGTTATCTCGTTTGGCAGTTCACTGTCGTGGTTGGTTGGGCGATAGATGCAACCTAATAATAGGGTTTGCTGTTTATTTATGTAGAGTGTTACCCATAATTTATCGCATGTATTCAGGCTGGGGTCATCATAGTGCACAGCTCTGCAGTCAGATTTAACATAGATAATGCATCCTCCACCCCGACCAACTGATCTGTTCTTCCTGAAAAATGAGTAGCATTCACAGTGAAAGAAATCATAGTTTATTTCACTTGTGCACCAAGCTTAAGTGATCATTAGTGCTGTAGGTTGGCTAAACAGTAATAATGCAATGTATTTCATACAAATTTAAAAAATTTACATGAAAATTCAT